AACTGATGTTTAGTTGTGTACGCAATTTAGTTGTTTGCACAAGAAGCATGAGTAACGTAAGCAATGAAATAATGCTGAATCATGCCCTTTGGGCAGCCAGGCAAGGAAACCTTAAAATGCATATGCGTGGGTTGCTTGTGTTATTGTATAAAAGAGCTTTAAGTTGTAAATGTACTCAGAACAGTAGATCAGTAGAGAACAGAATTGGGATTAGATTAATCGCTGGAAGTAGTTAGCATTTCATAATTTAAGTACTGCTACTAAATTCTAACCGAATTCCAATTTTCGACACGTTATAATGCCGTTTCCTGACCATCAGATTTCTGTCAAATCTTCCCCCCAAAGTCCAGGAAATGGCATTTCAGAGACTCTAAATTCAACCGGGGGCATGCCCCCAAACCCCCCTAGACAAACCTCGCACCTGCGGCACTCGGCTCGTGCCTTCGGCCCTCGTTTATCAAGTGTAACATTATAGGGGCGCATATTGGCTGACAGCCCACTGGCCCCTCCAGAAAAATAGTACCCAGCACGCCACTGCTCTTTATTGAGCACAATTGTCTAGCATTTATTGATAGCACCAAATGATAAAAGGGATCAGGGTACATTACCACTAAAGGGGTAATATAAAACCCGGAACAGTTTAACACATCAAAATACCGATATCATACTTACATTAGGCAAAAGTTCTCCTTGTTGTCGCTTAACAAACAGTGATGAATTCGAGAATACTTTTCCTCCATGTACTTTCCCTGGCCATTGTGTCACCCCACCTCAAATGTCTTATGTAAACACGGGACGAAATCAGCTCTGCAAAGTGAGCTAGCTCAGGTACCCAGGCTAGCACGTCTCCATGTAAACACCTCCTTACAAAGCTCCCAGACTTTATAAGAACCACTTACTGATACTCATGCTTCAGGTTTAGTAGTTTATCTGTATGCATGGTCCATCACTGCCTCCATGATAATGGAATAGAAACACTTTCTATTCTAGTAATTTACTGAATATTCTGCTGGGGCAATAATTGTGATGTGCGTTCCATCTATAGCTCTACCAAACTGTGGAAATTGCCATTCATTTGAAAATCCATTTACAACTGACTTCAATGCTTCTCCTGTTGCTCATACCATTTGATTACACTATCAACTCAGGGCTGTAAAAAGACGCGATAATTGGGGGGGGGGGGTGTGGGTGTGCATATTCATTTATTCGTGTTCTGCCCTACTGATTTCTTTTGAAGGCGATTGTTTCACCGTATGTGAACATGAATATATGAATTTGCCCCCCCCAATTATCGCGTTTAGTCACGGCCCTGCATCAACTATAGCTTCACGCACATCATTAACAATTTGACAAGCTCACAATATTAAACTCATCTGGCGCCACTATCAGTGGCCGCCATAGTTAACATAAACCCAGTCCCTATTTTCAAAATGCATCATCTTCGTCCCCTGTGCCACGCCACGATAGTTAAATCAATTAATTAAATTAAATTATTCAAGTTTTTATTAAAGGGTGGACACTCCATTTTAAATCCCAAGAACTCGGATCGCTTTGAGATCGCTCTAATATAAACCGATCTCAATGCGTGCTTGGTGTGAACGGCCCCTTAATAGTCTGAACGAAGTTGATTAAGATTAAATTGAAAATTTACTATTTTTATATAATTGTGTTTTATTGATAAAAATACGAGGCTCTATTTTGTCAACATGGACGTCAGATTGCTGAGAGTGGACTGGATAAAAATTGTATTTGTATCAGTGTTTGGTAATCTTCAACACTTATGTCAAAACATAGGATTTTTAAAGCTTTTTGCTTCCTTATACGAGGGCTATGATGCAAAATGTCTCCAAAATTAGTTATACAAATTTGCGAGTGACGTCTGTGTTGAGAAAAACGTCACTGAACTTACGTTTACAAACACCCATTTTTTATTTAGAACTTTCACTGGCTTTTAATTTGAACTCACTCACTACGTCGCCGTTATAACCTCCTTGATATTTCCTCCCTAAATCTCCATAATCCGTATTTCTATTATAAAAATGTTGCTTAATTTAGAGGAAACTAAGAATAACTTCACGCCAGCTGATCTCGATCGACGACTAATGAAGACAGTCAGTAACAATAAGGACGATAACGCCTATTGGAACGTCTCGTTTGAACCGGGCGTTGATCCATCAGTTGACGAGGCTCTTCCAGAATCTGAAGACGACAACCACAGATTTCCTCGCCTCAAGCTAGTTCATACACAGTGGCGTTACGATCTTGGTTTTGGAACTCCATCCGGTACGTATGTCCAATTATATATGTATTTATTTCAAACTCATTTTTTTGTTAATTTTTCAACATATCTTTGTTTTATGTCAAAAAATAGTTTTTCTCATTTGAGAAATCAATTATAAAACTTCCATAAACTTTGACTGCATGGATAGAATCAGCTGTTTCCTTTCTTGGATTACTTTTCATCACCTTAGCGGTGGTTTAGTCTGGCGAAATAGCAATTAGTAAAATTTGAAATTCTTGTTGTTCATTTCCTGCTTGAAATTATAGTGACCAAAACATAATTTTTTGGCTACCTTTTGCGGTGAAATATCTGTGTGTCTTCTTGTGACGTTACATGCAAAAAATTATCCATAACAACCGAAGTTAGCGGACAAATGGGTGAAAGCAGCGGGTGAATGGAGAATCGCCACCCTGGCCGCCATATTGAATTAAGCACACCGTATATAGTCCGGATCTGCCTTGAAAGAAAAGAAAAAAATTTGTTTCAGGCCAAAAATGTGTTATATAGCAAACTTTTAGAATAATTCATTCTTTATACATCTCTTGCCTCTCGGTATTACAACAACATACCAGAATAATCGTTCAAAGCAATTGAGATTATAAAGTTAATATTATTCAGCCGTTCCGCACGTTGTAACCAATAATCTAATGTAATTGTAAATCGAATGTATCCAATACCGTAACTCATTGGGATAGATGAACCCAACCCTAATTTAACCTCAACTCTAAACTCTAACCCTAATATAATCTTAAGCTAACCCTATAATATAATCTTAATCTAACCCTTATCTAATCTTAATCTGACACTAATCTAAACTCGATCACCCTTTTTTTTAATTAATTAAATTAATTGTTTTTGCTTGACTTCACACAAAGGACTTTTCCAAATTGCAGCACGCCAAATTTTACCGACCCCAAAACGAGTTGGTAACGCTTTTCTATAATATAATATGCACTCGCTTTTCTATAATATAATATGCACTCGCTTTTCTTCAAAGTAACTGCTATTTACAGTTACCTTTGATGCCTCACGATTAAAACCATGCCAGAGCGCTCAAACTGCAAGCAGTGAGCGTGCGCAATGCGTAAGCGGCATGGCTCATCCTGTAGAGCGCTCAATATATATATATATATATATATATATATATATATATATATATATATATATATATATATATATATATACAGCTAATTCAATAAAGGTTGTCCTTTGAAAACCTTAAACTCTAAAACCTTAAACCTTAAACTCTAAGCGCGCAAAGCATTATGGGAGTACGATTTAAGCAGTTTAGAAAGCAAATATGGAGCCGATTTCTTAGAGACATGGTAAATATCTCCCTGTGAAAACATTTCACTCACAAACAGCTGCAATATTCAACTACTAAGCTTGAAATCAGTGACAAAGGACAACCTTTTTTGAATTAGCTATATATATATATATATATATATATATATATATATATATATATATATATATATATATATATATATATATATATATATATATATACACACAGA